GTGAGGGGTGCGCCGAAATGGAGGTGGAACTGCATGCGGACCCTGCCACTGGGGCCTTCGGTGGAGCACCCTATGAGACCACGAAACGTGAGGGGTGCGCCGAAATGGAGGTGGAACTGCATGCGGACCCTGCCCTTCGGCGGAGCACCCTATGGGGCCACGAAACGTGTGAGGGGTGCGCCGAAATGGAGGTGGAACTGCATGCGGACCCTGCCACTGGGGCCTTCGGTGGAGCACCCTATGGGGCCACGAAACGTGTGAGGGGTGCGCAGAAATGGAGGTGGAACTGCATGCGGACCCTGCCACTGGGGCCTTCGGTGGAGCACCCTATGGGGCCACGAAACGTGTGAGGGGTGCGCCGAAATGGAGGTGGAACTGCATGCGGACCCTGCCACTGGGGCCTTCGGTGGAGCACCCTATGGGGCCACGAAACGTGTGAGGGGTGCGCCGAAATGGAGGTGGAACTGCATGCGGACCCTGCCACTGGGGCCTTCGGTGGAGCACCCTATGGGACCACGAAACGTGTGAGGGGTGCGCCGAAATGGAAGTGGAACTGCATGCGGACCCTGCCACTGGGGCCTTCGGCGGAGCACCCTATGGGGCCACGAAACGTGTGAGGGGCGCCGAAATGGAGGTGGAACTGCATGCGGACCCTGCCACTGGGGTCTCGGTGGAGCACCCTATGGGGCCACGAAACGTGTGAGGGGGGCGCCGAAATGGAGGTGGAACTGCATGCGGACCCTGCCGCTGGGGCCTTCGGTGGAGCTCCCTATGGAGCCACGAAGCGCTGTAATGGGTGGGTGAAACGCAGGGAGGAGGGAGGAGAGGGAGGAGGAGGGAGGAGGAGGGGGAGGAGGAGGAGAGGAGAGGACGCGGGGCACCGTCTCTTCAAAACGAGGACCCAACACCACAGGATGGTTGGGAAAAATTCTATGCGCGCACACTCGTTTATCAAAAAATCAGAAGTGTTCAAGAATCCCTTGCAAAAAACGAGACGAAGTGCACACGCGCGCGTCGTCGTGCGCGCATGCCGAAATCCTTCAAGAAACGTCGGTTTCGGAAGGAGTTCACCATCGCGTTTCCCAAAACATACAAAAACACTGATATGCTAAAAAAGCTTACGCGCGCGCTCTTGCGAAATCTGAAGAAAACCAGAGGCTTATCAAGAGTTTCAAAAAATACTACCAAACGGGCTTCGCGCGCGCATGTCGAAATCTTTCGAACGCCCTTTGCGCGCGTGCCGTCTTGAGGATCCTCTGCAAAAATGAGACGAAGTGCAGAAGCGCGCGTCGTCGCGCGCGCATGCCGAAATCCTTCAAAAACCGTTGGCTTCGGTGTCCAAACAACGTACAAAAACATTATTCCGGCGAAGGACCCAACCATGTGCAGCTGTGTGTAACGCAGGTGTGGGTATCGTCCTCGGTGAACCTCCCTCTGGGGCCACGACGCGTGTGACGGGGGTGCCAAAATTGGCACGGGTACGCCATGCGGACGCTGCCACCGGAACCGTCGTTGCAGCCCCATTTGAGGCCACGAAACGTGTGAGGGGTGCGCGGAAATGCAGGGTGGAACCACGTGCGGGCGCTGCCACCAGGGCCTTTGGTGGCCGCGAAACGTGGAAACGGTGTGCCGAAATGGAGAGGGAACTGCATGCGGAACCTGCCACTGGGGCCCTGAGTGGAACACTCCATGGGGCCACGAAACGTGTGAGGGGTGCGCCGACATGGAGGGGGGACTGCATGCGGACCTGCCACGGGGGCCTTGGGTGGAGCACCCTATGGGGCCGCGGAACGTGCGAGAGGTGCGCGGAGATGGAAGTGGACCTGCATGCGGACCCTGCCACTGGGGCCTTCGGCGGAGCACCCTATAGGGCCACGAAACGTGTGGTGAGGGGTGCGAAGAAATGGAAGTGGAACTGCCTGCGGACCATGCCACTGGGGCCTTCCGCGGAGCACCCTATGGGGCCACGAAGCGTGTGAGGGGTGCGCGGCGGAACACCCAATGGAGCCACGAAACGTGTGAGGGGTGCGCCGAAATGGAAGTGAAACTGCATGCGGACCCTGCCCCTGGGGCCTTCGGTGGAGCACCCTATGGGACCACGAAACGTGTGAGGAGTGCGCCGAAATGGAAGTGGAACTGCATGCGGACCCTGCCGCTGGGGCCTTCGGTGGAGCTCCCTATGGGGCCACGAAACGTGTGATGGGGTGCGCCGAAATGGAGGTGGAACTGCATGCGGACCCTGCCACTGGGGCCTTCGGCGGAGCACCCTATGGGGCCACGAAACGTGTGAGGGGTGCGCCGAAATGGAGGTGGAACTGCATGCGGACCCTGCCACTGGGGCCTTCGGTGGAGCACCCTATGAGACCACGAAACGTGGGGGTGCGCCGAAATGGAGGTGGAACTGCATGCGGACCCTGCCTTCGGCGGAGCACCCTATGGGGCCACGAAACGTGTGAGGGGTGCGCCGAAATGGAGGTGGAACTGCATGCGGACCCTGCCACTGGGGCCTTCGGTGGAGCCCCTATGGGGCCACGAAACGTGTGAGGGGTGCGCCGAAATGGGGTGGAACTGCATGCGGACCCTGCCACTGGGGCCTTCGGTGGAGCACCCTATGGGGCCACGAAACGTGTGAGGGGTGCGCCGAAATGGAGGTGGAACTGCATGCGGACCCTGCCACTGGGGCCTTCGGTGGAGCACCCTATGGGGCCACGAAACGTGTGAGGGGTGCGCCGAAATGGAGGTGGAACTGCATGCGGACCCTGCCACTGGGGCCTTCGGTGGAGCACCCTATGGGGCCACGAAACGTGTGAGGGGTGCGCCGAAATGGAAGTGGAACTGCATGCGGACCCTGCCACTGGGGCCTTCGGCGGAGCACCCTATGGGGCCACGAAACGTGTGAGGGGCGCCGAAATGGAGGTGGAACTGCATGCGGACCCTGCCACTGGGGTCTCGGTGGAGCACCCTATGGGGCCACGAAACGTGTGAGGGGGGCGCCGAAATGGAGGTGGAACTGCATGCGGACCCTGCCGCTGGGGCCTTCGGTGGAGCTCCCTATGGAGCCACGAAGCGCTGTAATGGGTGGGTGAAACGCAGGGAGGAGGGAGGAGAGGGAGGAGGAGGGAGGAGGAGGGGGAGGAGGAGGAGAGGAGAGGACGCGGGGCACCGTCTCTTCAAAACGAGGACCCAACACCACAGGATGGTTGGGAACAAGGTTTCGAAACACAAGGTTTCGCAACACGGATTTTCAACAAAAGCGTGCGCGCGCGTTCTTGCGTCGTCGTCGTCGTCGTCGCCGTGCTCCCTCCTCCCTCATCGTCGTCGTCGTCGTCGCCGTCGTCGTCCTCTGTCTTTCCTCGTGTTCGTCGCCGTCGTCCTCTTTGGCGTCGTGGTCGTTTCCGTCGTCGTTGTCGCCGTGGTCGTCCTTCCTCCTCCTCCCTCGTCGTCGTCGTCGCCCGTCGTCGGCGTCTCGCCGTCGTCCCTCCTATTCCGTCGTCGTCGTCGTCGTCTTCCCTCCTCCCTCGTCGTTGTCGTCGTTGGCGTCGCCGTCCTTCCTCCTTATTCGTCGTTCGCGTCGTCGCCGTCCTCCCTCCTCCCTCGTCGTTGTCGTCGTTGTCGCCGTCGTCGTCCTCCCTCCTCCCTCGTCGTCGTCGTCTTCGTTGGCGACGTCGTCGGCGCCGGCGTCGGCGTCGTCGTCTTCGTCGTCGTCGTCGTTGTCGTCGTCGTCGTTGTCGTCGTCGAAGTGGTCGAAGACGTCGTCGGAGTCATAGTAGTCGTCGTCGTCGGTGTTGTCGTAGTCGGTCTTAAGAGGTTTTGCAAACCAAGTTGCGGTGGGGTGGGTGGGATGTTTGCAAGAGCATGGGATGTGTCAAATCACGGGTAAAAATCAATTGCACCACATAGATTGTACAACATAAATTGCCCCACATAGATTGCCCCACATCCATTGTATCACATAGATTGCACCACACATAATGCACTACAGATATTGCACAACATATATTGCATCACATAGATTGCTCCACATAGATAGCACCACCATTTAGATTGCCCCACATTGATAGCACCACATGCCTTGCTAGAAGCACACTGTTTGGGGTCTCTGGTGTTCCCTCTTCTTCTTCCTCTTTCCTCTTTGCCCTCTTCGAGTGGTCACGAATGTCTGCACACGGTTCTCATGCGAGGCACGTTGTCGCAAAGGTGATGTTCAGCGGTTGCAACCACGACACGCTATAGAGGACAACGCCTCCATAAGATGATTGGATTGGATTGGATTGGATCGGACTCCTCCTGTCCTCGCCCCTCTCATCCTGAGTCCTCCCCCTTCCTCCGCCTCCCTCCTCCTCCCTCCTTCACCTCCGCCTCTCTCCCCTTAGCGTCCAAATCCCCGTCGCCCCTCTGGGCCACCCGCGGAGATCCACCCAACCTGCGGAGCGGAGCGGACACACGGGTGAGAGACTCTGGCGGGCGCCTTCCGAGGTGCGCGCCGTCCGTGCCCCCCACGCGCGGCGACGCAGCGACCCGGACCTGCGACGTCGTGGTTTCTCTATGCCCACGTTGTTCTTCGTTTTCGGCCTCCAGATGCCCGCTTCCTGCCCCAGGACGATCCAGAATAAGACCCGATGAAAAGTCGGTTCCCGAGGGGGTCCCGAGAGCTTTGAAGCCCAGGAGCTCGTCGGCGGGCAGGCTAAAGCGACAGCTCGGGAGTGTCGAAGTGGGGACGGACGTGAGATGGCCGAAGAACGACAGCAGCCCCAGGCACACTTTGAGTAGGACTCGTTGTCGGTGTCGCCGTGGACGTTGCCCGTTTGAGGCAAAAGTCGCCTGCCCAATATTGGCCGCTTTCGGTTTGGGACAAGCATCGTCCCCATTATTTCCGTGCCCATTTCGGACGTGGCAGCCCACCAGAGGGAGAAAAACGTAGTTCCGTCACACCACACTCGTAAACCCAGGAGCTGCAATCATAGCGAAATGGAAGAAAGGTGCGCGGTGGATGCGCACAGGTATTTGGTACTCCACAAGTTCCTGCTCATGCTGGTGCAGCCCGACCTCGTCGCAGCCGGGAGCGCCGTCGTCAGGACACGGCGACGCTGTCGCCGTCCAGATCGGTGCGGCCTCGAGCGGGCGGAGGAGGAGAAAGAGGAGTCAGAGCAGCAGCAGCAGCAGCAGCAGGGAGAGGAGAATGTGGCCCCGTTCCCCTCATATCACCCTCCCCGCTCCACTCCCTTCTGTCCTCTCCCCCACTCGCCCCTTCCCTCCATTCCTCCCTCTCGCCCCGGGCCTGCTCCTCATCCCCCGCTTCCCGCTTCAACATTCACACAGCCCTCCTCTCCCCTCCACTGCGTTCCTCCATCCTCCATCTCGCCTCCCCCACCGCTCACCTATCCTTCGATGATGATGATGATGATGATGATGATGATGATGATGATGATGATGATGATGATGATGATGATGATGATGATGATGATGATGATGATGATGATGATGATGATCGTCATCATCACCATGACCATCACTATCATCATCAGCAGCAGCATCATCATCACCATTATCATCACTATCATCATCATCATCATCATCATCATCATCATCATCATCATCATCATCATCATCATCATCATCAGCATCATCATCGTCATCATTAGCAGCATCATCATCATCGTCATCATCAGCATCATCAGCATCATCACCACCACCGTCCTCTCCCCACCGTCCCGCCTTCCGCCTCTGTTGTACCTCGTCCTCCCGAAGAAGCCAGCGTGCCGATCCTTGGCCCTGGGGGCCTCGGCACGCTCCCTGGGCGCACGCGCTTCGCTCCGCGGCCCCGGCGGTTGCCACGGTCCCCGCGGGCGGGGTTGGCCGCGCCAGCATGCTCAGGTGCTGACCCGTCCGCCCCTGATCAAGAGGGGAAAAAACACACAGACACAACGAATCGTCGATCCCCTGGAAAACATGGGAACATGTGGCCAGGGGGGGGGGGGGAAGACGAAAACCCAGAAAATGAGGTAAGATATGGGGGATCCTGGGATTTGCGTGTACTTATGTGTACTTACGTGTGTGTCCCTGGGCCCCTTCATCTGAGCGGCCTCCTCTTCCCCCCCCCGGCGGCCGCCTTGCCTCCCCGTTGTCCCCTTGTGCAGGCCAATTCGCTTTGCGGCACCCCCGTCTAGTTCCTCGCTGGTGCCGCCAATTCTGCCTCGCCGCAGACGAAAAAAAGGGCTTCGTCCCGGCTTCCTGTTTCTCGCAGTCCCAGGGCCCGACGACGGCCCCTGGTGTCCAAAAACTAGGAAACAAGCGCCAGAGTGTTAAAACACAGCATTCCCGAAGTGTTAAAACACAGTATTCCCGAAGTGTGGTGTCCAAAATATAGGAAACAAGCGCCAGAGTGTTAAAACACAGTATTCCCGAAGTGGGGGATTCCTTCTCCTCACAGATCCACCCCAGGAGCCGCCCCGGAGCGCGTTCTGGGCAGAAGTCCGAATGGCATCCAGCAGTGGCGACGAGAAGTCCGCCAGAAGCCCTAGAGTGACGACCAGACACCCAAAAACCTCGAAGCTCGAAGATTGATCCCCCTGCACTCTCCTCCAACCGCCTCCTCGTCATCAGATGCCTCCTCCCATGCCCAGGACGTCGGTGCCAGTGCGGCAGGTGGAGCCCCACGTGGACCGCGGAGACCCGCGGTCTCTCCGTCTCGGGCTGCGGTTGCCTGGGACGCTGAGCCGAAAGGAGGAGGAGGAGGAGCACCAGAACAAACCCATGATGCATCAGCGATGTTGCAATACACCCTCCTGTCCCAAGTCCCCTCCTCAGAAAGTCCTACAAGCTTTCATCTTCAATGCAAGAAGCGCCCCCTTGAAATACCAGAACCCTGTGGGCCTGCCACTCAGGACAGAGCCGAGTTTTGAAAACGAACTGCCTTGCACCCTTCTCGCGCGTAATCAGGAATGCCAAAAGGTATGATCACACCAGATGACGGAGAAGGAGGAGGAGGAACCAGATTTTTGCAATGCTCTCAGGTATTAGGGATGCCTCTCATCGCTATTTCTGGATTCGCCTTGCAATCCGGGCCAAAGCGCACCAGAGGACAGGTTTGGGGGTGGATTCGTGCAGGGGGAAAGACGAGGAGGAGGAGGAGGAGGCGTAAGGAGGAGGCGCGGAACGAGTAGAAGGCGCACGGAAGAGGAGGAGCCACGAGGAGGAGCGAGCGAGCGATGCTTGGGCCGGCGCCCAGAGCGCGCTGCGGAGCGGGGCGCGGGGCGGCCACGCGCAGGAGTGGCCCGGGCGCGCGGGCCGCTGCAGGCGCATCGGATGCCAGGATCCCCAGGCCGCGCACCAGAGGTCAGAAGAAGAGTTCTAAGACTACTACGAGCAGACCAGTAATATTCCTGTTCGTAAAGATAGACGAATTCGAGTACAATTACAATACTACCAATAATAGTGCGAAGTATTAAGCATAGGAAGAATACGACGTCTAACAAGCAACGAAAACGAATACTACGAAGAGTAGTGAACATACGAATATGGCTAACGCAAAGACGACACATGTGAAGACAACCAGTTCTAAAACGATCGCTTGCCCAGCGCAGGTTCGCGCCGCGTCGACCCGCGGCGAGCACGCCGCCAGCGCTCAGCGTCGAGCGCCGCCGGCGGCCCAGAATCGGTCGATGGTGAAGGATCGAACGTCGCGGGAACGGCCGATCGTGCAAGGCTGAACGATCCCCGCGGTGTCAGGAACCAACGCCGAAATCAGCACGACACGAACTTGCCAAAAAGTCACTCCTGCGTACATCCGATCATCGTCGTGGTAATCAGCATCATCACGAGCATCGTCACCATCATCCCACCACCGTATCATAATCTCATCATGGCGAGTCGGAGCGAAAGGACAATCCCCTGGAAAGAGCATCCATCGGGTTTCTGTTGTTTATGTGTTGTTTCACGTGTTTGGCAATTCGAAGGGCCAAAACCGCCCCCCCCACACCTCCCCCGCCACCCCGCCCCATCCCACACCCCCAAGCAAAGAAAACTAGGGCGGACATGATAAGCCGAACATCGGCTCAGCGTGTACCCCAACAAGTCTTGGGTAAACGCTATTCGTCGCCCCTCGACCGTAGGCCCAGGGGCCACGTTTCCGCAAGCTGGTGCAAAATGACATGTGTGTGAAGGGGGGGGGGCAACACGGGCGTGTCATAAGCATCGGCGCTTGTCGTCAATAACTATGCTCGAGCTGCCCGTCCCACCCCGCCATTCAAAAGCTGGCAGTGTTGATTGCGCTCGAACTGATTGGCCTTTTGGTAGCGCGCCTGGCCTCATCAGCAGCAGTACCAGCTTCCCGAAGGCACAGGAACAGATATGTCTTCAGCGAACTCATGCAAAATGACAACACCAACATCATCCGTAGCACGCCGCATCCGCGACGCCGGGCCTTCAGGGAGAACCTGGATCCTTTTCCTCCACTCGTTCTTCCGCCATTTACTCTTTTTCCCTCCTCTTCTTGTTGTTCGGCAGCCGCTTACGCAGTATCGCAGCGAAGTTGGAAGACCAGTCCGGACGACGCGCGTGGCCGGAGAGACAAGCAAGGCAAGTGAAGCGGCTTCGACGGCTCATCCCCAGAGACACGCTCACCCGCCCGCGGAAAAAAAGCCCACCAGCCCCGAAGATGACGGAAGATCTCGACGCGCGTCCATGCGGCCAGCGAGGACGGCGCACACGGCAGGCCGAGACCGAAAGGAAAGGGCTGCGAGCACGACGACGCGCGGTCGAAAGGCCGCGCAGAGAAGCGGAAACATTGTTCCGGAAGAAGGGGCGGCGTCGGAGGCCCAGCGCGAGGCACCGGAGGCCGGGCGGCGACCGAGGGGGGCAAAGCAGGCTGGCCCCAGGCAGGCTGGGCTTTTTACTGTCATCATTTTCTTCATCGTCGTCGTCAGCATCGCCTTCCTCGTCTTCTTCACCCCCATCTTTCCTCATCCTCCTCCCTTTCGTCCTCTTCTCCATGATATTTCCCGTCCTTGTCGTGATATCAATCACCCTTTTCCTTTTCATTTTGTCCTTAAGACCATATGCCGCCTCATCGCTCCCCGTGCCATGCTCATTTTTCTCCCCTCCTCCTTCTGGACATTGTGTCCTTCAGCCACCATCCCACATGTCTCATCCTCCCCCTGCATCCACCCTCCATGTCCTTTTTCTCCCCTCCGACTAGCCGTTTGGCCCACGGCCGACGCGCAGAATTGCTCGCCCACTCATTTCAAGCGCCATGGCCACGGAGGATCCAGACCGAACTGCCGTGGCGGAGGTGTCCAGGCCAGCTGTTGATTGAAGCGGTGTTGGCCCGAAGTACCCCCTGGGGCTGCAGAGTAGGCCATGGCCCCGCGCGGGGCCGAGGCCCAGGAGGGCCCCGCGACGCTCCAGAGCGGCCCGGGCCCAGATGCCCAGGAGACCCCCTTGGGATTCCCAGAACGGATGGGTTGTGTATACAGGTGCCCTTTCGCCGACGTGATTTGGCGCTGGGCCAAATAGGGCGCCTGGGGGGGCTGCTATTGGAGGGCGCCATCCCCCCTCCCCAGACAGCAGCGCACCCAAGGTCACTCTTTGGCACAGGTCACCGTTCGTGCATGCAGAGCCGAAGGGACATCAAGAGAGCGGAGGTCGAGATAACGAGGGTGAAAGTATCAGCCAGCGCAGACCCCAACTAGGTCAGAAGACTGCAATGAAGTGTACTGAAGCAGACTGGACTGGAGCACACTGGACTGGATTGGGGTGGACTCTACTCCATTCTACCTTACTCCACCCTACAGTGGTATACCCGACTCTACGCTCTACTCGAACCTTCTCTACCCTGCCCTAACCTACTCAACAGTAATCCTGTTGTGGTCTACCCATACTCGAATATACTCGTCGTCTGCTCTGCTATACTTCACTCTACTCCAGCATACCCAACTCTACTCCACCATATGTTATGTTCTACCCTACCCAAACCTACTACTCTACATGTTCTACTCCACTCCTACCCTTTTCGTATTCTTTATCCAGACTCACTATTCGTATAGAGTCCCACTCTGGCACCTAGTCGGCCGATAGCAACCCAGTCATGGTGGTCCCAGCCGGCTGTCCAAGTACACCACAAACTCAACGTTTTTCGCTTCAACATGGACATCATGTCGTGCACCACGTCCAGGTCGTAAAATGCGCGGCAGGCATGGGACGGGGCGCGCATCCCGCGCGAAAGGCCGAAATGTCGTTCTCGCCGCGGCGCGCCCGTTTCTCTTCAGGACTGACCTCCCGCTCGGGCGCGGTGCGTGCTCTTCTCTACTCTGCTTCATGTCTGAATTCGACGGTTGTTTCGCGATTGATGGGGCGCCTGTGGAAGAGCCGCAGGAAGCCATTGGAATAGCAGACGAGGCCATGCGGCTACAGGGAGCCATGCGGATAGCAGAGGAGGCCATGCGGATACAGGAGGCCATGCGGATAATTTGAACGATTGTTGCACGATCGTTGGGACGCCCTTGGTATAGCCGCAGACAGCCGTTTGAATATCAGAGGAAGCCATGCGGATACAGGAGGCCATGCGCATAGCTTGACGATTGCAAAGGCAAAATCGAGGATTGAGCTTTGTAGACCAGATCTCTTTGGATTGAGGTAGGAGTCGTATCGGCAAGCGTGTTTGGAGAACAACGAGGGCGGAAAGTTACAGATTGCGCACAAGAAGGTCAGCACGAATGCACAAAATAAGCATGGGTGGTGAAACATCCACGGGGATGGAAACGAATCTTCGAGGCTGAAAACAGACATATGTGAGCGCTCACCCCTGAGCCGAAAGAACACCAAGAGCGGTGGTCCGACCTTCGTCTCGAAGGCCTTCAAGCGCCTCTGGGCTGGGCCGGGAGCATTTCTGTCGACCCCACTCGGGGGCTCACGTAACAGCGGTCAGCGCTCGCGGGGGTCGGCCAATCCCCATCTGGCCGACCCGTGCTTGGGAGCCACGTGGGGCCGATGTCCCCCCGCGCCGCCCTCCGCCGGCCCTGGCCGGGGAGCTAGCGAGCGGCCGGCCGGGCCTCGCGACAGGGCTTTGGCCGACGCGGGCCTGGGCGGACCCGGACTGGCCCAGCCACGCGCAGATCAGCGGCGCCGTAACGGGTACCTACTAACGGGTACTTTTGAAAATTGCCGAAAGTTGCCACTTTAGGGCCTCTTTGTGGCATTGCAGCGTTGCCCACATCGGGGAGGGTTAGGTTCGCAGGGTCACTGGCCAAAGTACCCGTTAGTGGAGTCCCCTTTAGAGGGGCGCTGAGCAGAGGGGGGCGGGTGGAGGGGGGAAGGTCTCCTAGAATCGCCGAGCGCGATCCACTACTCGCAAAGCACCTGCTCGCAAACGTCCCACTGACTTTTTTGGTCTGCGGGTCGAGAGCGAGCCTCTTCCGGTGAAGAGCTAGGCGGGCCGCGCAAAGCACTAATTGGGGAGACAGGGCGCGGGCGGGCGGGGCCACCATCGTCCCACAAACACGTGTCTGCTTTGATGTATTCTATCGTAGGTCACCTGTGGCGGATCCAGGCCATTTGCGAGTAGCTACTTTGCGAGTGGTGGAACGCGCTTGTCTGGAGAAGCACCCCCTGCTTCTTGGAGGGCGCAAGCTTCGTCTGCAGGTGCAGGGCCGGCGCCCTCTGAGAAGCGGCCTCCTCGGAAGCCTGCCCCCCTCCCCCCTGCCCCCCCTGTGCTCAGGAGGAGAAAACACACAGAGACACAACGAATCGTCGATTCCCCCGAAAATATTACAAAATATGGGCAGTGGGGGGAAGACAGAAACCCAGAAAATATGGAAAAATAGCGGGAATCCTTATTTTATTTGTGTGTACTTACTTGCGTGTCCCAGGGCCCCTTCTATGTGCGCGCTGCCAGCCTGTGCGCCCCCGACCCCCCCGGCCAGGGCTGCCGCCGCGCCCGCCGAGCCCGTCGCGCCAGCCGCGGCCCCGCCCAGCGACTCGGGCCAGGCGCTGCCGCAGGAGCGCCACTGGAGGACGAGGAGGGGGAGGAGGGAGGAGGAGGAGGAGGAGGAGGAGGAACCCCGCTGGAGGGCGAGGAGGAGATGGAGGAGGAGGAGGAGGAGGAGGAGGAGGAGGAGGAGGAGGAGGAGATGGAGGAGGAGGAGGAGGGGGAGGGAAGCAAACCATGACATGAGCACAAAAGCTCGGAGGTGCGCGCGGATTCCCCGGATCGGCGCTGGAGCCCCCCTGGCGGTGCTTCTGGCGCCGCCCCTGGCGCGCTCCGAGCGCCAGGCAGGGGGTGTCCAGCGCCGATCCGAAGAATCCGCGCAGACCTCCGAGTTGTTATGCTTATGTCATTGTTTGGTCCCCTGACGACGACGACGACGACGACGACGACGGGAATTGAGGTTCGAGGTCCGAGCATCGATGGTTTTGACACGCGTCCCAATCATCCTGCGAAGTTGGGTCCTCGATTTGGATCCGCAGCGCCCCGCGTTCACTCCTCCTTCCTCCTCCCCCGCCTCCCTACTCCTTCTCCTCTTGCTGCTGCTCTCCACGTGTTCATGTCGGCACACCCTCACACGTTTCGTGGCCCTCGGTGGAGCTCCCAGGGTCCGCATGCGTCCCCCAGTCCATCTCGGCGCACCCCTCGCACTTCCGATCCTGGCGCTCGGCCGCCTCAGCGCGGCACCTGGGGCAGCGCTTGACCACGTCGCTGGGCACCTGCGGGTCCTCCTCTCCCTCTGGGCGTCTCGAAGGTAGAGTCCCCATCCTGCGGCTGGCACCTCCGCGGGTGGGTGACTAGCGGTGAAATCCGACCAGAGGGTCGCGACATCCTGGTTGGGGGCTACCAGAACCTGCAGGCGCCGCTTCACCGGCAACGATGAGATGTCCATTCCCTCTTTTGCGTCGTAGTCCTCGCCAACTACCACCTTCAACTTCGCACGTCCCCATGGATGTATGCACCCGCTGGAGGGCCGCCGCTGGGAACGCCGCCAAACAGCGGTAGTCCTTATCGCGGCCGAGCTTCGTTGCGTCGTGGTTGAACATACGAACGTCCGACTCCGTGATGGTGATGTATGCTTCGGCGTCGCCCATGTAGGTCTTGGCCTCCTTGGCGTCCTCCCACATGGCCAACCTCCACCGCCTCCTGAACGCTGGCGCGGCGCCCGTGACGGGCGCACAAGTACGCAGCCGCGGTGTTGATGAAGACGCATTGCCGCTCCTCCAACTCCAGGGGGTGGACGCCCTCGATGCACATGGCTGAGTCCTCGGTGATCGGCAGCTGGTCACGGTAGTCCAGCACTTTCAACAGCCGTCCTTGGATGTAGGCACGCGCACACCCGGGCCCCTCGTCTCCACCTCACCCTCATCGTGTACACCTCAGGCTCCTGGACCTGCCCTCCGACCCGCTCCATCCTCTTGTGCAGGTATGGCCGCACTTGCTCCGCCAGCTCCTCGCCCCCCAGCTCGACGGCGTCTTGGGGCGCCCCCTCCAGCGACGGGGGGGGGCCGACATCCGCCCCTCCAACAGACGCCCGTGGCAGTAGGACCGTCACCACGGCGGGGCATCCCGGATCTCCCGGCTAAGTATCCGACGTGTCCAGCACCTCCCTGGCCACACGAGCAGACGTGTGCGTTGCCTCCGGCATGTCTGGGGGCAGCTCTTCAGGGTAGAGGGTGGACCACCGCCCTCTTCGCGCCGGGGTCCGCGCGCCACTACAGATCTGGGCCCAACGTCTACTGATGCAGCCCTTTCTCGTGGGCCGTGAAATTCACGTCGAGGTATTCTTCAGACGCGCTCAACTCAACACCCGCCCCACGTCGGGAGCGCTGTCGCACTCCACGCCTTCCTAGACCTGGCCCTGGTGCTCCTTCTAAGTCTCCTCCCTCAGCTTCTGTACCTTCTCGACTTGAGCTTCGGGAGGGATTATCGCCCCCGTCTGCAGCCCACCTCGCTTGATGAGGTGAGCCTTCATCGACCAGTGCAGCTTCTCCGCCTGCTTGATGCTGTCGGCGTGGGACCGCGCACATGTCGTGGCCGTCTTGGTACACCCATCGTGGCACGAAGCACCCCAGCATTTGGGCTTTCCCTTCGAGTCTCGAGGTGCATGCTCGAGAGACTGCGCCACATCTTCCTGGGCCAGGACCTTCAAGATCTCCGGCGGCGGCAGCACTCGTGGCCCTCCTCCTCCTCCTCCTCCTCCTCCTCCTCCTCCTCCTCCTCCTCCTCCTCTTCCTCCTCCTCCTCCTCCTCCTCCTCCTCCTCCTCCTCCTGAGCCGCTCCCGCTTCCCGTGCCCTTCCTGGTCCTGGTCCACCCGCCACTCGCGTTCCTAGGCTGCTCGCCCTTGCGAGGCTGATCCTTGCTGCAGACCCGCAGCACCTCCTCGACTCTCCACTTGAGCTCCTTCCACCACCTTGAGTTGAGCTCATCCCAAGCGCCCTGCACGCACCGGCTCGTCTACTTCCGCGGCTCTTCCTCATGGAGTCGAACGAGTGTATTCAGGGCCTCCGACCGCCCGTCCTAGTGCTCCTGGCCATACACCAAAAACGCCACCCAGGTGCCATTCCGAGCCTGCTCGGGCCGCTTAAGCATGTCGGTCGGCAGCTTGGGCCGCGTCTCGATCTTCGACTCCCCAAGCGGGACGTAGTCGTCGAACAACTCCTCCGGGCACGTGACCCTGTCCGCTACACCCAGGGACCAGCTCGCCATGGTGTTCACCGACTTGCCGCCCCACGAACTGGTGACCAACCCATACGCGATCTGGTGACTCACGAGGGTGCCACCAGTGGTGCTTGTAGAGGGCGGCCGAGTGCTCGGCCATGCGAAGCAGCGCCTTCACGAGGGGGCGCCCCACTCGTCGGGGCAGATCGCTACCTGGAAGCGCCGACAGCCCCGAGCCGCCAGCACCTTCAACTCGTCCTCCTTGGTAATCGACTTGAGGGTGCCAACTCGCCACGCCTCCTCCTCCTCGCGCCTGTTCCGAACGTCCAGGCTGTGTGCGATGTCGGCCAGCAAAGCTGGTGGCGGCGTCGCTCCCAAGAGGGCCTGCCTCGGCACTCAGAGCACCGGACCTCCTCGGAGCACTGGTGATCGCGCTCCCCACATCCTCCCTGTTGGAGCTGGTCCGCGCCCTCAGTCGAACAAGTTTGCCAAAAAACATGTGATAAAGTGTGATACAAAAAACTTGTTGTTTTATCACACTTGATGTTTATCCCATGTGTGTTTGTGTCACATTGGTTCGGAGCAAAGTGTTTCAGCCTCCCTGTCGGAGCTGGTCCGCGCCCTCAGTTCGCATCCGCGGCCCGGCGGCCCCAGCAGCATCGGCGGCGGCGTGGGGCGGCCGATCCCCAGCGGCCCCACCAGCGGAGCCAGTGACCGTGCCAGGAGTCTCGCAGCGCGACTGCGGCCACGGTCTGTCCCCTCCCGCCTCCTCCTCCTCCTCCTCCTCCTCCTCCTCCTCCTCCTCCTCCTCCTCCTCCTCCTCCTCCTCCTCCTCCTCATCCTCCTCCTCCTCCGCCTCCGCCTCCGCCTCCGCCTCCTGGCCAGCAGACGGCACGCGGAGACCACTCACCAGCTGGCGCTCGGCGTCCCGCTCGGGAAAAATACCCGCCCACGCGACCTATCCCTCCTGAGGGCTCGGCTGGGGGCGGCAACGGAGACTGGTGGCTCTGCTACGGGCTGCCTCGAGGCCGCCATCCAGCTCTCCTCGCGCACCGCTGCCTGGCTCACGCCGCGGCGCTCGTTGACGATCTCCTCCAGCCGCCTCAGGTTTCTCAGCTCGCCCGTCCCCATGAAGCTGCCACACTCGAGTCGGAGGGCGGCCAGCGACCCCCGATGGCTTGGCATGCCTCGCTGAGATCGACGAAGCCCTCCCAGAGCTGTAGCCTCTCCGCGACGTCGAGGGGGTGGGCCGAGGGATGGCCCTCCTGGGAACACCTCTTCGGGTACTCGATGCCCAACGCCGTGGACCCCTTGCGCCTGCACGTCTCGGGTGCCGCGCGACTCGCCGACAATCCGAGCTCCGCCCGCGAGAGGTCTGACTGTGGCTCCCATGTCGGCACATCTGGGAAGGCAGCTGGCCTCTTCCTCCAACCTCACCTCATGCGAGGGCCGCAAAGGGGTCTTCGACAGCCCCCGCGGATGCCTTGCCCCCTCTTCCGCAGCAGGTGGCCCTGCCTGAGTCGGACTCCGTGACGTCGCCTTGCGCTCCTCCTCGCTCCTCCTTGCCGGTCCTCGGGGCTCCTCGGCGACCCCACGGACAACCACGTGGGGCAGTTCGGCGGGTGCCGCCACGCGCACGTTGTCGTGGTACGGGCAGAGCAGGACGCCATCACGTAGCACTCGGCCCAAGTACACACACACACACACACGACACGGGCGCACTTCTTGATTCCCTGCTTTCACCTGGTACATGTTGCTGTGCTGCCAGCTGAGGTTCGCCGTGCACGCGCCACCACAGAGGTTCGACTTCTCCCCGCCCTCCCACAGCAGCTGCACCGCGTCGCCCCGGGCCCTGTCACGGCACTTCTCCTCACTCAGTTGGTAGACGTTGTTTTCCTCTTGGTAGAGAAGTTCATGGGCCACGCACTTGGCATCCTCGGGCTCGGACTCCGACTCTAAATTTGGATCTCTCAGCAACTCTGCGGGCGGATCCGACGTGGCCCTCCTCGATCGACAGCCCGTCCTCCCGCAGTGCTTGCAGGCTCTGCACAGCTTGGCGCAGCCCCGCAACCCAAGAGTGCCACATCCCCTGCTTCAGGCCCATGCTCCCGCCCCCACTGCCCGCGCGACCCAACACGGGTGGGGAGGTGCTACGAGGAGGGCCTCCAAGTTGGCGTCTGCCTTCTCCGCAACGCACACCTAGGACGGCAGCTGCACGGTGTAGTTCCCACCATCCGTACAAGGCGCCCCCCGGCACAGGTGGAGCGTCTTATCTTGGGGCTCCTCCAACAGTGTCCTCAGCCTCTTCGAGGTAGAGCCTACTGCCAGGTGCATCCCGAATTTTGAGCTTCATCCCCGTGTTGAGCGCCGGGCGCTCCAAACGGGCCGCGGCGTCGCCGACCTTGATGGCCAGGTGGAGCGCCTTGCCCCTTGCAGCCCGAGCGCGAAGCTGAGCATAGAAAGCATTGTCGACAGGGCTGGTCGTCCCTGGGCCCCGAAGCTCTGGTACCGCTCCTTCTCCTCCGCCTTCTCCTCCTGGGCGGGGTGGCGAAGGCAGCGGGTAATACCCGAAGGGCCAGAGCAAGGGGGACAGGACCACCTTGAGCGGCTTCACGACCAGGTAGTCCAAGGCGGCGGCCGTCGAGTGCAACCCGTATCCCACGCCGACCACCAGGCTCACCGCCAACAGGAGCAGGAGGCACCCAGACAAGTCGGGCCAGTACTCCCCAAAAGCGGTTCTCACAACCGTAGTTACCGCCCTTCCGACGAGACATCCGCTTCCTGCCCAGAGTCGCTGCCATCCGTCAGTGTCTCAGTCGCTGAAGTAGCCGCCGATCCTGCTGCCGATGGACATGAAACGGACGTGCTGGAAACCCCACCATCCTTCCTCAGCCTCGCTCTCCTCCTCCTCCTCCCCCTCCTCCTCCTCCTCCTCCTCCTCCTCCTCCTCCTCCTCCTCCTCCTCCTCCTCCTCCTCCTTTTACGTCAGACCAACCTAAGGTTCATGATGTGCAAAAAAAACAGGTCTACGATTCAGCTCGAGATGTACCTGGCGGGCGCCGCGGAAAATGAACTAAGTAAAGAAACGGGCAAGAAGAGTAAAAAGAGTAGGCGCCCACCAGGTCCTCGAGGTCGGCATTGAAGAGAAAAAAGAGTAGGCGCCCGCCAGGTCCTCAGGGTCGGCATTGACCCTTCTCCTCCTCCTGCTGCTCCTCCTCCTCCTCCTCCTTCTCCTCCTCCTCCTCCTCCTCCTCCTCCTCCTCCTCCTCCTCCTCCTCCTCCTCCTCCTCCTCCTCCTGCTCCTCCTCAAACCCGGGTGGCGGGGGAGGTGGAGGACGGCGAGGATCGGCACGTTTGGCCCAGTCGCGGCGCCGTGTAAACCAATTTCCTCCCAGCGCCTCATCCTCCTGGACCTCTCGCACCTGCCCGCCGACCTCGACCACGGGCTCGGCACCTCCACGCGACGGCGAAGGCTTCCCTTCCCACTCTGCGGGCCTGGGGCTGGCGGCTTGGGGGCTGCGCGTCCTTTGCCGCCTCCTTGTCGCCCACGACCTCTGCAAGTTGCTTCGCTTCCTCTGGCGCTGCGTACCCCTGTGTCGCTGCCCCCTGCCTCCCGCTATGCCGGCGGGCCAGGGCGAGCAGCTCCGCGGCGCTTTCCTCCTCTTCTTCCTCCTCTTCCTCTTCCTCCTCCTCCTCCTCCTCCTCCTCCTCCTCCTCCTCCTCCTCCTCCTCCTCCTCCTCCTCCTCCTCCTCCTCCTCCTCCTCGGCGCCTCCAGCCAGACCGCGCGCCATCTCGCACACGCTGAAGGACTCGTCCTCATCCCACACCTGTGGGACAGCTGGCGTCGCTGTTTCCGTCCTCGACGGCCAACGCCCGACTTCTGCAGCTCCCAAAGCACCCAGGACCATGGGCAGCGTCATGCCGCGATCCTGACCTCCTCAGCCTGGCAGCTCTGCTCGGCGCTGTCACAACGCTCGTGGCGCAACTCGCCTGCCCTCTGAGCCAGCGCTGCGCTCCGCGCTGCCCCGCCGCGAGGCGCTGGCGCCTCCGCGCCCGCCTCTTGCCCGTGGGCGACCAGCGTCCCAAAAGGCGGATCGGGCTATTTGGGTCTCGGCCTCTGCCTGCGAGCCAGCAGATCGCGGCGCCAAATTGCGCGGCTCCCTGCGAGCCGCCCCCAGAGGACCGCCGGGCGCCAGGGGGCCTCTAAGGCCCAGAAAAAATTGAACTCAAATGGGCAGCGGAGAGAGGCAGAGACATGCTGATATTCGCCAGCCCTCCATCCGCGTAACTGCTGGAAGGTTTTACGATGAAGGTGCGTAGAGTGACGGCGAGCGCCACGTTGTGACAACCATTCGCCATACATCCATGGAATGGTTGGAAATTGTACGTATGTTTCACTCATGGTGAGCACGTTCTACGCGAAAGTATTGGTCCTAGCGATATGTTTGGTGGCGCGACCACGGAAATTCTTGACGCTTCTCGTATCCCGACCAGCCCACTGCGTGGTCATATTCAGCCCTGGCTGCGTTCCAGCACCTCCACTTCGTGGTCAGATTCAGCCCCAGCTGCCTTCCAGCGCTCCGTGAGCTGGTCGCGGCAGCTGCGAATCTCGGCGACAATCGTGACCGCTACCTGCGAGGTTGCAGTGCACCCGCCCTTGGGCAAGCGTGTCCTCTCTCATCGTTGCAGCCCCAGCCAGTCACTGGTTTCGGATACGATGAACGACACCGGTCCCCCCCTGGGCAGCAGTGTGGTCCGTGGAGTGAGTGCTCTGTAGGTACCTGCCGTTCCTCTGCCCACTCTGTGGTCATATTCAGCCCTGGCTGCGCTTCAGCGGTCCATGAGCTGGTCGCGGCTGCAGCGTACCTCGGCGACATTCGTGGCCGATATCCGCAAGGCGGCAGTGTACCGGCACTTGGGCCTGCGTGTCCTCCCTCATCGTTGCTTCCCTGGCCTGTCACTGGTTTCGGAGACGATGACTGACACACCACCCCCCCCCCCGGGCTGCGGTGTGGATCGTGGAGTGAGTGTTCTGTAGGTCCCTGCCGTTCTCTGCCCCTGTCTCCGCCGACCACGCGTCCGGCGGTGGTACGGACTTCGCGCTGAGTGGTTCAGCCTTCAGCGTTGTAGTTTCGGTTCTGCCTTCCGCCTTCGGCTAGGGGAGCTGCTCGGAGCTTGGCGCCGACAGGGCGACTCTCTCCGTTGCACCCGCACTGCTGTCTGCTTCACTTCGGTGTGGCCGGCGCCTATGTGCGTTTGCCTTAATGCGGAGCATTTTGCTCAGTGCATGTGCGCTCCACGCATCGCGTGTAATTTGCCGCGTTCCGTTGCCCCGGACATCGCTGTTGCCGTCTGACCTTTGTCGCGCGGCCGCCGACCAAAAAAGTATCCAGACCAGCTGTTGTGCCACCTACGGCACGGATGTTGTCCTGGAGTGCCTGTCGGACCTGCTCGTTTTTGTCGGGCCTTGTGCCGACTCACACCGGGTGGTCGACCTCTGCGTGTTCATGGTCGCGCCGCCGCGCCGTTTTGGCTGCGCCTACATGATTGTCGCCACCGGGATTTCCACGCCACCGGGTTGGGATTGTTTTTCCTGGTCCTCCTTCTGAGTGGCTGCCCGCGCGTTCGTTTCGCTTGCCCCTCTCTTTTCTTGCTGCCTAGTCGCGGCCCGGCTAGTGTTCGGACGGCTTTCGACTTGCTTCGCGAGCCCGCAGACCAAAAAAGTATCTGGACCAGCCCCTTGCCCCTTCCTCGGGGTACCCCTGGGCTCTCGGGCTTGCGACTCGCCCGTGGTCGCCACGCACGCACGCCCTCCTCCGGCGATCCGGAACTTTTCCGTTGAGCGCCTGCACGCCCCCTTGTCGTTCTCGTCGGTGGCGCTCTCACGGTCCCCCCCCTTGGCGTTACGGAGCACTTCCGACATGCGCCCGTTCTGCTATTCGCCCTCTTCGGCCTCCTGGTGGACTTCGAGTTCGACGGCAGCTTGCTCTTCGCCACTTTGGCGCTGGCACGTGGACCTGGTGCTCGCCCGCATCTGAGGCGCTGCGTAGCTCGCTCTTGCGCGCGTAGTGATTAATTTAGGCTTTTGCTCGCTGGCAAGTTCCTGACGGCGCCTGGCACCCCTGCGCGCTCGCGAACAAAAAAGTATCCCAACAAAACCCATCCAGAAATGATGCCCATGAGAGTTGATGGGGGGGAAGAGGAAGGGACACGCATAGTCAAACAGCGAGGGAGGCTTGGGAGCCTCCGTGGCCATCTCGAGCCGTATTGGAGCGTTTTTGGGGCCGCCTGGAGCATCATGGGAGCCATCTTGAGCCAGTTTGGGCGATCTGAGCCACCTTGGAGGTCATCTTGGGTTTTCTCAGGCCGTTCGGGGGCCTCATGAGTGCCTTTTTTCGGGTGCCTCTTGGAGCCCTCTTGGGGCCTCTTGGGGCGTTTTTGGAGCCCTCTTGGGGGCCTTTTCGGGAGCCCCGGAGCGCCTCTCGGGGCCATTTTGGGGGCGGTCGGTCAAAAGAGGGGGGGCGCTCGAGCTCCTTCCCCCCTTCGGAGGCAACGATCCTCGTGAGGAGTGTCAATTGGCCTTCCCTGGGGCCGAAAAAGGACCCTTTGACACCTCCTGACCCCTCAAAAAAACTTCGGGGATGGGGAGGGGGAGGTTTCTGGAAGAGGAAAGAGACCCTCCTTAGACGACCTGTCGTCCAAACGGCTGGTTGAATATTCGGAAGGACGAGGGATGAATGAGCAGGAAAAGGAGGAGGAGGAGGCGGAGGAGGCGGAAGAAGAGGAGGAGGAGGAAGAAGAGGAGGCGGAGAATGAGGAGACGGAGGAGGAGGAGGAGGAAGAGCAGGAGGAGGAGGAGGGGGAGGGCAACGTTCGATGAATTTTCGCGCCTTCAGTGTTTCAATGCTTCAGGAGGAGGAGGAGGAGGAGGAGGAGGAAAAGGAGGAAGGGAAAGGGGAGGGAGAGGGAGAGGAGGAGGAGAACAAGGATGAGGAGAGGGAGGGGGGCAGGAGAAGGAGGACGAGGGGAGCAAAAGGAGGAGCCACTTCGCAACCTTCCAGCGTGCCTGGGTGGAGCAGAAGCCACTGCCCCCTACGAAGCGTCGAGGAGAGTGTCCCGCCTTTTCAATATTGCATAGGAGCTGTACTGCTGTAGTCTGGGCTGCTTGGGCCGTGCCCTTCCCCCTCCCACCACCACACCCAGATAAAGCGGAGGAGGAGGAGGAGCGCCCCTTCTGCAGCCCAGAAGCAAAATAATAGGCGGGCAGCGTGGAGGCTCCCGCAGGACTCCTCGGAAGACGCCACGCAGAAGGAGGTGATGAGGCAGCTCTGGAAACTGTACGAGGAGGTCGTGCTGCCGATCGAGGCGGAGTCTCATTTCTGGCACTTCCACAACCAGCCGGTGACGAAGTCTGAGTTCCTGTCGAACCCACAGGTGCTGCTCGTCGGGCAGTACAGCACGGGCAAGACTTCGATGGTCAAGTGGCTCACGCAGAGCAGCAGCGCCCACTTCGACGTGCGCCCCCAGCCCAGCACCGACAAGTTCATGGCTGTGGTCCACGGGGACGAGGACATCAGGAGGGGAAAAAACACATACACAATTAATCGTCGATCCCCAGGAAAATATGGGAACATATAGGAAGTGGGGGGGAAGACAGAAACCCAGAGAGCATGGGAAAATATTGTGGATCTGGTTACTTGTGTCTATTTATTTGTGTGGCCCAGTTTCCCTTCAGGAGAAGATGGTGGAGGGCAACACCGCGAGCTGCCTGCCGCAGCTGCCCTACACGGGCCTGGCCAGCTTCGGGGGGAGTTTCCTCAGCAGCTTCCAGGCGCGGTTTATATATATATATACATTTATATACATATACATATGTATATATATATATATATATATATTAACCCCTCCCAAAAACACACACACACACACACACACACACACACACACACAACAGGCGCTGGTGATGCCCGTGGACCTCCTGCGCGGAATCTCCTTCATAGACACCCCGGGCGTGCTTGCGGGCACCAAGAACAGCAGGGGCAGGGGCTACGATTTTTACGCGGTCTGCTCCTGGCTGGCCGAGAGGGCGGACCTGGTGCTGCTGACGTTCGACGCGCACAGGCTGGACATTTCCGACGAGTTGGTGAAATTGATGGAGGTGCTCAAGCCCCATTCCAATAAGATGCGCTGTGTGCTGAACAAGGTGGATCAGGTCACTCCCCTGGACCTCGTCAAGGTATATGGGGCCCTCACCTGGAACCTCGGCAAGGTGCTCCAGACGCCCGAGATCACCAAGGTCTTCGCCAGTTCCTTCTGGGATCAGCCGTACAAGTATGGCGAGCACAGGAAGCTCTTCGACGAGGACAAGGAGGCGATCCTGAAAGAGCTCTACGCTCTGCCTCGGACTGCGCTCATGAGGAAGATTGACATACTGGTGTCACGGATTCGCCGCGTCCGTGCGCATTTCTGCATAGTGGCGCACATACGCTCGCAGCTGCCGTACTTGCAGACGGAGGCGGGCAGGCACCGGTGGGCCTCCACCAACCTGCCGCAGCTGCTCAGCGAGGCCAAGCGCAGCAGGGGCATCAGCGACGGCGACATGCCGAAGGAGGAGGCCTTCAGGGCTAGCCTGGCAAAGTTCGAGGGGCTTCACCGGCTGCCTGCTTGGCAGGCCGGGCGCGTGGACAGGCTCACCAGGCTACTGCAGGACTCGGGCGGGGGGTGTCACAACGCAAACGCACACTCGTTCGGCGTACCCCCCCCTCCTCCATCTCCTCCTCCTCCTCCTCCTCCTCCTCCTCCTCCTCCTCCTCCTCCTCCTGCTCCTGCTCCTGCTCCTGCTCCTGCTCCTGCTCCTGCTCGTACTCCTCCTGCTCCTCCTCCTCCTCCTCCTCCTCCTTCTCCTCCTCCCTCTGCTCCGTCTCCTCCTCCTCCTCCTCCTCCTCCTCCTCCTTCTCCCTCTCCTCCTCATCCTCCTCTTCCTCCTCCATACCTTCTCCTTAGAAATAGTCCCTCCCTGTCGCAACCCGAGGCTAGTCGACAGGGCGGGCTGGGCGTTTCGCTTGAGGTATCCTCACCATATATGATCTTGGAATCTGAAATTGGCAGCTTCACAGATGGAGGGCAGGTCGTTTTCAAAATGTGGTTCTCGCCGTAGCGACGCGCAGATTCGTTTGAAGAGTCTACAGCAGTTCAAGTTTTAAGTACGATCGTGGTTAACATGCCGAAAATGCTGTTTTGGCACGAGGCCAGACTGTCAGAGCGCAGAAGTGACGTGGATTCGTGGAGTCTAATACCCAGAAATGGTGTTTGGCACGATTCAGGATCGCCTGAGCGCAACAGTGACCGTGATTCGCTGCATTGAAGTCCCAGAAGGGTGTTCTGGCACAGTTCGAGATTATCAAACGCTTGTCTTCCAACGGGGCATTTCCCTGAGTGGAAATGAATATCATTGTAGCGGCCTATGGAGAGGGAATTTGGAGGGATGGTTTATTGCGATATCGTTGATGAGTCTTGGGTTTACACTGGTCCTCCTCCTCATTTCCATCCTCCTCCCCCCCCTCCTCCTTCTCCTCCTCCTCCTCCTCCTCCTCTCTCCTCCTCCTCCTCCTCCTCCTCCTCCTCCTCCTCCTCCTCCTCCTCCTCCTCCTCCTCCTCCTCCTCCTCCTCCTCCTCCTCCTCCTCCCCCTCCTCCTCCTCCTCCTCCTCCTCCTCCTCCTCCTCTTCGCCTCCGCCCTCCTCGCTGCCGACTTCCACTGCAGGACGAGGTCCCCCAGCTGCTGGCCAGGGTGGGCGGCGTCACGCACGCCGCGTTCGCCAGCCCGCTCCCCGCGTCGCTGCTCGAGCCCGAGCCGGGCGCGTGGCCCTGCACCAAGCGCAGAAGGACCCAGTGATCTTGGCATCGCTCAGACGTGTGCATTTTTTCTCGGTGACGGCCATCGAGGACCATCCTTGATCATTTGGCGAAAAAAACACGCACGGAATCGAAAATACACGAGGAATGGACGTCCGAGAGGTGGCGAGTGATGCGCACGCCAGGCGTGCCCGGGGCAGCTCGACACAGAGAGCTGCTCCGTGTGCGGTGTGCGCTCCAGCATCAACCGCCGAAGCCAGCGACCAGCGTGGCACGTCGGCCTTGCTCCGTGTGCAGATGTTCTCTTCGCTTCCCCTGCCGTCCTTCTCCCTTCCCTTCCACGCACCACCCTCCACCTGCAGAAGTCTGACCGACGAATGACGTCCCCAGCTTGCCCAGCGGTCAGCTGTCCCACGTCGTGGTGACAATCACAGAGTGCATGTTGCTGCTGCGAGAGCAGAACCAGAGCTGGACGGGGAAATCGCTGGAGGAAAAGACATCGACACACGTAAACGGTCGGAGGTTCGCGCGGATTCGTTGGATCGACACTGGTCCCCCGTGGCGGCGCCCACGGCGGCGCCCCTGGCGCACTTCCCGCGCCGGGCGAGGGAGGCCCAGCGCCGACACAGGAAATCCACGCGGACTGCCAAGAGTGTATGCTTCTGCTGTCGCTTGCAATCCCGAGCGCTCGAAGTCTTTCCAGTCCGTCGCGCGGGCATAGTAGACCCCTCCTTCTCTTGATCCCCTCCTCCTCCCCCTCCTCGTCTTTCAGCTCGGCGCCGCGGTCGCGCCCTCAATCGTCCCCCTCCGCTTCCTCCTCCTCGTCCGTGTCGCTGGAGAAACCCGCCCCTCGCGATAACCCCTCAGAACCCCATCCCCTCCTCCCTCCTCGCCCGTCCCCCCATCGTGAGAGCAACTCGCGTGAGCTCAACCCTCGTCATGGTCGCCCTGCCCCCTGGAGGTCTCTGGAGGGCCCCAGAGACCCGTGGCCCACAAAGGGCTAAGAGCGTTCAAAGGCTTCATCTTCGTCGTCACAGGGGGACGAGGAGGAAGAGAAGGGGGAGAAGAATGAGCAGGGAACGAAGAAGGAAGAAGGAAAAGAGAAGGAATTTGAGGAGGGGGAGGCGGAGGAAGAGGACGAGAGGACGATTACGAAAAAGTCGGCGACTATGACGACGACGACGATAACGACTTCGTCCTTTTTCCCGATGCTCCCCTCGTCTTCCTCGTCGGGAGGAGGAGGAGGAGGAGGAGGAGGAGGAGGAGGAGGAGGAGGAGGAGGAAGAGGAGGAGGAGGAGGAGGAGGAGGAGGGGGAGGAGGAGCAGGAGGAGGAGGAGGAGGAGGAAGTGGCAGCAGTCAAAAGCAACGAGGCTTGATTTGGACCTGGCCGCAGCCTTCAGGCCCTTGTGGAGAAAGAGGAGGTGATAAGTTTTGCCTCCGCCCTAGATTCTAAACCTGAAGGTCTCCAGAGGCCAAAGTACGTCCAAAAACCATCCCGTAACGTGCAGAAAAATCCTGGACCCCCGATGGTCGAAAGCAAACCTCAAGAGGATGAGAAGCGACGACGACCGCGGCGACCCCACCGACCACGACGCCCACGATGACGGGGACGACGACATCGACGACGCCCACGACGCCGACGACGCCCACGACGCCCGCGACGATGACTACGACGACGAGGACAACGACGACGCCGACGACGACGACGACGGCGACAGCAGCGACAACGACGACGACGACCACCACCACCACCACACCCACCACGGCGACCACGACCACGGCCACGACCACGGACTACGTCGACGTCGACGACGACGACGACGACGACGGCGACGACGACGACGACGACGACGGCGACGACGACGACGACGACGACGACGACGACGACGACGACGACGACGACGACAACGACGACGGCGACGGCGACGGCGACGACGACGGCGACGGCGACGGCGACGGCGACGGCGACGGCGACGGCGACGGCGACGGCGACGGCGGCGGCGGCGACGGTTGCGGCGGCGGCGGCTGCGGCGACGACGACGACGACGACGACGACGACGACGACGACGACGACGACCACGGCGGCGGCGGCGGAGGAGCGAGGAGGCGCGAAGGAGGCTGGGCTCCCCGAAGAGCGCCGCCGCTGCCGTGCCTCCCAGGCTGCCGCGGAGCACGCCTTGCCCGGGCGAGGCGCGCGCGCCCCGCGGCGGCGTTGTCCTCGTCGTCGTCGTCGTCGTCGTCGTCGTCGTCGTCGTCGTCGTCGTCGTCGTCGTCGTCATCGTCGTCGTTGTCGTTGTCGTTGTCGCCGCCGCCGTCGTCGTCGTCGTCGTCGTTAGAGGGTCGAGGGTCGAGGATGCCAACTCTCCCAGGGCCAAGGGGCTTCTAGGGCCCGCCAGAGGCCCCTGGGGCCTTGGGAGAACGTTGGGTCGCCGCGTCGCTGTCGTCAACATAGTCGTCGTCGTCGTCGTCGTCGTCGTCGTCGTCGTCGTCGTCGTCGTCGTCGTTGTCTCGCCGCCGCCGTCGTCGACGTCGTCGTCGTCGCCTCTCCTCTTCTTCGCCCTTCCTCTGCTCCAGAATTCGCGAGTCCGTCCAGTCTGGTCAGGTCCGCATCCTCTTCTTCGTCCTCATCTAGGAGTTGGAGGAGCACAGGGAGGTGATTCCCGTCCTCCTCAGAAGATGATCTGCAGGGTTAGAAAATTTAATCCGTAAGGGCTTCGCCCCCTGCCGCCGGCCCCCTCTCTCAAAGAATGGGCCATGAAAGAGCGAAGTCATGAGGCTTTGGCTTCGCCGTAAAGCAGTGTCGGGACCTGTTTGTTTTTCGACCCTGACCCTACGGATCTGCGTGAGGGGTGCTGCCGCATTCCAGAAATGTGGCAAATCCTTTGTGTTTTTCGACCCTGACCCTACGGATCTGCATGAGTGGTGCCACCGAAATTCAGAAGTGTGGCAAACCCCACACGTTTTTGCACCCTGACCCCGCCGATCTGCGTGAGGGGTGCCGCCGAATTTCAGAAATGTGGCACATCCCATGTGTTTTTGGACCCTGACCCTGCCGATCTGCGTGCGGGGTGCTGCCGAATTTCAGAAATGCTGCAAATCCAATATGTTTTTGGATCCTGACCCTGCCGATCTACGTGAGGGGTGCCACCTAATTTCAGAAATGTGGCAAATACCATGTTCTTTTTGACCCTGACCCCGCCGATCTGCGAGAGGGGTGCCACCGAAATTCAGAAATGTGGCAAACCCCACACGTTTTTGCACCCTGACCCCGCCGATCTTCGTAAGGGGTGCGACCGAAATTCAGGAATGTTGCAAATCCCATATGTTTTTGCACCCTGACCCCGCCGATCTGCGTAAGGGGTGCTGCCGAATTTCAGAAATGTTGCAAATCCCAAGTGTTTTTGGACCCTGACCCCGCCGATCTGCGTGAGGGGTGCCACCGAATTTCAGAAATGTGGCAATCTTATGTTTTTGGACCCTGACCCCGCCGATCTGCATGAGGGGTGCCACCGAATTTCAGAAAACTTGCTTTTGGACCGCAGATCGCAGCCCCCCAGGGATGGCGAGGTCTAATCTGAGTCTGCGGTGAGTACCCACTGTGCTGTGCCCCTCGGCAGCCCTCGAAAGTGGCGACAGTTTCGCAGATCGCAGCCCCCCAGGGACGGCGAGGTCCCGCTCATGTCCGCGCGGCGCCTCACTCCGCAGGACCCACCAGCAGCTCCCGAAAGTGGCGACAGTTTCGCAGATCGCAGCCCCCCAGGGACGGCGAGGTCCCGCTCAGGTCCGCGCGGTGCTTCACTCTGCAGGACCCACTAGCAGCCTTCGAAAGTGGCGACAGTCTCGCAGATCGCAGCCCCCCAGGGGCGGCGAGGTCCCGCTCAGGTCCGCGCGGTGCCTTACCCCGCAGGACCCACCAGCAGCCCTCGAAAGTGGCGACAGTTTCGCAGATCGCACCCCTCCAGGGACGGCGAGGTCCCGCTCAGGTCCGCGCGGCGCCTCACTCCGCAGGACCCACCAGCAGCCCTCGAAAGTGGCGACAGTTTCGCAGATCGCAGCCCCCCAGGGACGGCGAGGTCTCGTTTGGGTCCGCGGTGGGTACTCTCTCTGCTGGCCTCCCCAGCAGCCCTCGAAAGTGGCGACAGTTTCGCAGATCGCAGCCCCCCAGGGACGGCGAGGTCACGTTTGGGCCCGCGGTGGGTACCCTCTCCGCTGGCCTCCCCAGCAGCCCTCGAAAGTGGCGACAGTTTCGCAGATCGCAGCCCTCCAGGGACAGCGAGGTCCCGCTCAGGTCCGCGGTGAGTACCCTCTCTGCTGGCCTCCCCAGCAGCTCCCGAAAGTGGCGACACTTTCGCAGATCGCAGCAGGTTCCCAGGGACGGCGAGGTCTCGTTTGGGTCCGCGGTGGGTACCCTCTCTGCTGGCCTCCCCAGCAGTCCTCGAAAGTGGCGACAGTTTCGCAGATCGCAGCCCCCCAGGGACGGCGAGGTCCCGTTTGGGTCCGCGGTGAGTACCCTCTCTGCTGGCCTCCCCAGCAGCCCTCGAAAGTGGCGACAGTTTCGCAGATCGCAGCCCCCCAGGGACGGCGAGGTCCCGTTTGGGTCCGCGGTGGGTACCCTCTCTGCTGGCCTCCCCAGCAGCCCTCGAAAGTGGCGACAGTTTCGCAGATCGCAGCCCCCCAGGGACGGCGAGGTCCCGTTTGGGTCCGCGGTGGGTACCCTCTCCGCTGGCCTCCCCAGCAGCCCTCGAAAGTGGCGACAGTTTCGCAGATCGCAAGGAAGGCGAGCGGTGGGTACCCTCTCCGCTGGCCTTCAGCAGCGAAAGTGGCGACACTTTCGCAGATCGCAGCCCCCCAGGGACGGCGAGGTCCCGTTTGGGTGCGCGGTGGGTACCCTCTCCGCTGGCCTCCCCAGCAGCCTTCGAAAGTGGCGACAGTTTCGCAGATCGCAGCCCCCCAGGGACGGCGAGGTCCCGTTTGGGTCTGCGGTGGGTACCCTCTCCGCTGGCTTCCCCAGCAGCCCTCGAAAGTGGCGACAGTTTCGCAGATCGCAGCCCCCCAGGGACGGCGAGGTCCCGTTTGGGTCCGCGGTGGGTACCCTCTCCGCTGGCCTCCCCAGCAGCCCTCGAAAGTGGCGACAGTTTCGCAGATCGCAGCCCCCCAGGGATGGCGAGGTCAAAGGCAGGGGGGAAGAGAGGGACGGGAAGGAAGGAAGGAAGGTTCGCGCGAGCAGTGCTTAATTCAAAACGAGAACCCAACGCAGGAGGGTTGGGAAAAATGCATGCTGAAACGGTCACCAAAGCCGAGCCGAGACGATGCGACTCACACAACGTGAGATCGCACATCTCCACGGACCCAGCAGCCGAAACGACAACATCTCGAGGCCACCTCCGGGACATGTCAGACAAGCAATCCGTCGCACAAAATTCCAGGAGTGTGCCCCGAATCGAGAGACCATTACAATTGGAGCACCGCTAACGCTGCCCGCATGTCGAAATGCACTGGGCACTGGCACGGGCAGATTTGTGCCTGTTGGTTCCCAGGCGGGCTCTCTCGGGGGCCTCCAGGAGGGAGGAGGAGGAGGAGGAGGAGGAATCAGGAATTAGGAATCAGGAATCAGGAATCAGGAATCAGAGCAGTTGCGAAGCAACATCATGAAAGATAAGCAAGCCTCTTATTGGTGAGCTCGCACGGCACACGCGCACGCACACGCACACTCAAGAGGCAAGACAAAATGACAGAACTCTTATGCAGCAGTGTGTTCACCTTATTTCATGTCCCTCCACAGAGTGAGCAAAAGAGCTGGAGAATCATGATGCATCAACAAAGTGTTCACCCTGTATCAGAAAATGCCAGCGCCCTGCAAATGTGTTCTCCCGTCTGCAACGACAAGCAATACACATAACAGAACCGAGACTACCTGATCGAGTCCTCCACTGAGTAAGCACCCACGCAATTACCGAAGGCCACAACAAAATGTCGTAACGAAAACGTGATGTGCACCTCTCTCATGGTCATTGCTGCTTGCACTTCTCATCTGAAGGGGTTGTGAAACCTGGCGGATGCGAAACGGGTCTCGAAGGAGGCGGACCTGGAGATCCCATCAATTGGTTCAGCGCAGAAAGGACATCTGGCGAAAGCGGGATGGCCGTCCGACTGCCAGCAGCTCCACTTGTGCGCTCCGGAGAAGCGCCACCAGCGACCCGTGGCACCCGCTGAAAGGCACCCGCCGCGACCGCGGGGCCTTTGCTGGGAGCGGAAGGCACGCCGAGCATCACCTCCACTCTCTCCTCCGATTCCCCCTTCACGACGGCGCTAGCCGAAATCCTGGAAGGTTCTCCATGGGCTGCCGCAGGAGCGCCGACGGGGACTGCCGCCTCCAGCCCGCCGCTCGCCTCCCCCGCCTTGCCATCCCTCCACCGGGCAGTCATCCCCCGTAGGGGCCCTGTTGGGGTTGTGGGAGGCTGGGGGGCCGAGGCATCGCCATCAGCAGCACCACGAGCTCCACGATCGCCGCCTGCGGCGCGAAGGACGTTGGCCATGGCCTCACCCAACAGGGTTGGGCGGCAGCCCCTGTGCCCCATGGCGTGGAACCCACGTAGGAGCGCCTGCGCTGCGCGAAACTGCGCCCGCGCTGCCTGCGCCCTCCGCTCCGCAGCCGAGCGCCGGGGACGACCAGCGGCGCGCCAAGGCGGCTCCATGCCGGGCGCGGGCAAAGGGCGAAGGGAGGGGAGAGGGAGAGAGAGGGGGGGCAGCGGCGTGGGCCGCCTGGCGCGGGCTCGCGAACCCGCGGGGGTTCGACCCGAGCTAGCGCTTGGAGGAGGAGGAGGAGGAGGAGGAGGAGGAGGAGGAGGAGGGACGAGGGAGGAGCGAGGGGTGAGGAGGAGGAGACTCTAAGATTCCTCCCATGGTGATCCCACGTGTCGTTCCCCAGCACCCCCCAAGACAGGGCCGGCAGGGCGCCCGCCAAGGCGGCTGCCCAGCGCCAGCACCGTCGGGTAGAGGCCGCGGGTCGGCGAGGGCCGCCGCCACCGTCGCCCGCCAGGGCTGTCACCGCCGTCTCGCGCCGCCCCGCGATAGGCCGCGCCCCTCAGAGGCGCCGGGCAGGGCCGCCGTCACAGCGGGCTGCCGTCGGCGCCGCCGTCCAAGGCCGCCCACGGTCCGATTCGGTGCGAGTCTATTCGCTGGCTGGGGCCGATGCGGTCTGGAACTTTGGGATGGCGTGTCGTTCCGCCAGTTCTGGCCCACCACGCTTCGGTGCGACACGCTATTCACTTTTGGGTCCCCACGCGTCAACGTCCCGAGCTTTTCCCGACCTCCCGCCCCGCGGCGCGGGGCGGCACGCTATCAGCAAGTATGGCACAGCGTGTCGCTGGGGCCGCCGGGGCGACACGCTATCCAAGGTTCCCGACCTTATTCCGGTTCGTTCCGATTCGGCTCGAGTCACTGGCATCGGCCGGGGCCAGCCGCAGCCACGCGCGGCGATTTGATGTCGATCCGATTCGGGACGATTCGTTCGCGATCCGACACCGCTTCGCGATTCGATCCAGCTCACGCCTGCCGTCGCCGCCGCTGCCGCCGGCGTCGCACGCAAGAGGGCGCCTTTTTCGCCCTTTGAGTCTCACCGAGCGCGTTCCACTACTCGCAAAGTGCCTACTCGCAAACGTCCAACAAAAAACACGTGTCTGCCTTGACGTCATGTATCGTAGATCCTCCGCGGGGCATCCAGGCCATTTGCGAGTATAGTCACTTTGCGAGCAGTGGAACGCGCTCGTCTAGAGTCGTCGTCGTCGTCGTCGCCGTCGCCGCCGCCGCTGCGCGCGAGAAGCCGTGCCCCTCTGGTGCGGCGGGCGGAGCCCGCGCGCGCGAGGCGCGGCCCTACGACCCGAGCCTCGGCGAGGTAGAGCCAGGCTCCCCCTCGCGGGAGGAGACCTCCTCGAGGAGGCCGAGGAGGGCGAGGAGGCCCCTCGAGTTGGCCTCCTCGTCCTCCTCCGTGTCCTTATCTGCATCCTCCTTCCCTCCTGGTGCTCCACCCCCCCCCCTGGTTGGCTTCTCACCGAGAAGCCTTCGAGGACTGCCTGACCTGGCCTGACCTTCCCTTCCTCCTCCCTCTCTCTCGTTTCCTTCTCGACATGTTTGTTTTTTATGTTTCTCTCTCTCTCTCTCTCTCTCTCTATCCCTCGTTCCTCCTCCCTCCCCTCTCTCCCCCCCCTCCCTCCCTCCGTCCTGCCGCCCTGCCTCCCCTCCTGATCTTCGTCCTCGTCGCGTCTCCGTTGTCCATCCCATTCCTCCCTCCGTCCCTCCCTCCTCCGCTCACCCGCTTACTCTTTCGGTCATCCTCCCCCTCGCTACTTCGCTCCTCCTCATTATCCTCCCTCCTCGCTTCACCTCGCTCCTCGCCCTCCTCCTGAACACTCTGCTCGTCCCCCTTGCAAGAGGAGGGCCAAGAGGACGATGACGGCGACGAGACGACAACCACGCCCTCGACGGCAACGGCGCCGACGGCGGCGGAGTTGTGGCGTCGCCCCCTTCGCTTCCACGCTGCCCCCCCATCGCCCCCATGTCATCTTCCCTGGGGGGATGGGAGGGGCGGGGCGGGGGGCCAGACCTTGCATTCGGGGTTGGCCGCTGGAGCCTCCCGCTTACGGCGCTCGCGGCTTCGCCCTCTGCGACGGGGCCGAGCCGCGCGGGCTTGGCAGGCCCCGAGCGAAAGTTGGACCACCGTATGTCCACGCAGGGGCACTCTCAATCTCTGGCTCGGTCTGCTCGCTGCTGCCGTCGGTCGGTCTGGTCCTGAACTTCCCCGTCCTCCCCCCCTCCATCATCCCCCGCCTTTTCAGATCCATCACCCCTCATTGGGGGACGATGCATATATACAAACGCTTTACCAGCCCATCAGGGACGCCTGAAGGCCTTGCCTTGACCTCTGCTCTCTGTCCAGATTGCTCTGGATAACTCCGCCGATGAAGTAGAGGCAATTTCAGCGGTCAAAGTGTCCCCCTAATTTTTCCCGTTCCACCTTCCCTCAGAGGTCCTCATGAAGCCTCACGATGCCCATGAAGCCCCGAAACACACACACACATATATATATATATATACACACACACTTTTTGCGCTGGCGGCTAGGCAGAGTGACTGCGCTGGCGGATGGAGCAAATGCAGGGCACACAAATGCTAGTTACGCCGCAATGCACGTGAAGACGAGCGGGAACGCCCTGCGCAGGAAGGAGGGAGACAGAGGCCGGGCCCGCTCAGAGCGGGGCCACACACCCACTTCTTTGCGTCGACGGCTGGGCAGAGGTTACTGCTCCGGCGATCGGGCATCAGTGGGGCGCGCAAGTTGCAAATTGGGCCGCAATGCTCGGGAGGAGAGGAGGAGACCCCAGCAGGCAGCCGGGCCCGAAAGCACACGCACAGGTAGGGAGAGAAACACCAGCAACGATTCTCGACGTTTCGCGCGTCCCCATCAGTCCCCTCTGGCGACATGACCAGTTTGTACTTGGCCTTCACTTGCTACAGTGTTTGTGCGGATCGTGCTTGCAGGACACTCTCAAACGCGGCATGGCACCTACACAGTGGTGGACTGGCGCCGCGGCGTTCAGTTCGTAATTCTAAGGCACTTTGCCACAGGTCTGCTCAATGCATGAGCTTCCCTGGGCGTTGCAGTTCAGCCAGTCAGCCCCTTGCCGCTGCTGCTCTCCGGCTGCCGCTTCTGAGTGCTGGCCCGGCCGGCTTGCGCTGCGCCTAGTAGCTAATTAGGCTGGCCCGTGCCCCGGACCCCCTTTCGACGCCTGCCCTCTGCTGTGCGGCCGCAACCAAAAAAGTATCCCCACCAGCATGGATGTTTCTTGTGATTTATCCTACGTCTAGTCCTCGCCCTCAGCGGTCACTTGTCAGCCCCGCTGTCTGTGACCTTGCCGCACCATTTTGGCCGCGTTTTGCTCTCTGGCCCGCCGGTTCACTCAGGAGTGGTTCTGCCTTCTTGTTCGGCCTGGCGTGCCCCCTGTTGGTCCGCAGTCCAGACTCTGGCACCCTGTGGCGAACAGGTTCAATTCGCATACCTGGTGATTCAGTTCCCATGGTATTCGCACGTTTGCAGCTTCCTGGCAGCCCCTGCAGCTTGCAGTCCCCGCCCTCGGCCCTGCAGCTCAGCTTCGGCGCAGCCGCCCCCGGCGGTAGATCCTGCTTAGCTCCGCGCGCGCGCCGGCAATTAGTTCCGCTCGTAGCCCGAGGTGACTCGACTCGCCGCTGGCGCCTTCGCCTGCGGTTGCGACGGGAAAGTATCCCCACCAGCGCCCGCTCGCTCGCTTCGCTTGCCTTTCTTTTCCTGCTGCCTGGTCGCGGCCCGACTGGTGTTCGGACGGCTTTCGGCCCGCCCCGCGAGCCTGTTGACCTAAAAAGTATCCCCACCAGCAGCTGTGTGCTTTCGTTCGTTTCTCCTCCGCCGCGTAGTTCTCGCCACCGTTGTGGCCCTTTTTCCGCCTGTCCTGTTAGGTTGGCCTGTCGTCTGACTACTTTGACGGCGCGCAGTTGCCTGCGTCGCTCGCGACCAAAGGTATCCCCACCAGCCTCGACTCACGCGTCTTGACCAGTCCCGGCGCGAGTGCTTGCACTTCCTTGGACCTGGTCCCCAGACACCGCCTCGCTTGGCTGCGTATGGCTCCCATTTCGCCGCTGGCGCTGGGCTCCGTTCCGTTCAGTCCTCGGTGGAGGCGCCCCTCCCCTGGCCTCGGGTTTTCTTTCCCTTTGTTTTGTGGAGCCGAGTGGGCCCTGGCGTTCAGGTGTCGCGCGTTCTGACCAGTTCCAGCACGAGTGTTTGCACTTCCTTGGCTTCTGGTTGTCAGCTGGCCACATGGGGTCCTGGCCCGCCGGTTCATTCAGGAGAGGTTCAGCCTTCTTGAGCGGTTTGGCGCGTCACTTGCCGGTCTGCTGCCATGTCCTCTGGCGCCCAGTGGCAACAAGGTCTAATTCGCGTGCCTGGCGATTCTGCTCCCATGGTACTCGCACGTTGCAGCATCGTGGCGGCTTCCGTAGCTGGCAGTCCGCACCCTCGGCGCAGCTCAGCTTCGGCGCGGCTGCTTCCTTCGGCTCAGTTTCAGCAACTAGGTCGCTCGTAGCCCGAGCCAACTCTGCTGACGTTGTGGGCGCCTTCGCCTGCGGCCGCGAAGGAAAAAGTATCCCCACCAGCCCATCCAGAAACAGATCGCCAGGCGAGTTGCCTTGATCAGGGGAATATAGATGCATGCAGTGTACGTAACAGCCGCTTCGGAAGCGTTTTATCGGAGCTCTCCTGGAGCCATCTTGGGTCTCTCTTGGGGCCCTCGCGGGGCCACTTGGGGCACTCCTGGGGCCTTTTTGGAGGGCTTTCTAGGGAGGTCTAAGGGACTTTGTGGGTTTTTGTTCGGGAAGGTCTGGGAGGCCTCTTGGGGTCATCCTGGCCCCCGAAGCTCAAGAATAGCAGGGTAACGGATGCAGGTCCCCCCCCCTTCGGAGGCTCAAAATGTAATTGTGAGGTCTTTCGGGGCCGCTCTGGGAGCGCTCTTGGGCCGTCTTGGAGCCCTTTTAGGTACCTCTTGAGTCCTCCTGGGACTCCCTTGGGCCATCTTGAGGTCATTTGGGGACCTCCGAGGCCCATCGGAAGCCATAAGGCGAGAAGGCGAAAATCAGCAATCGCTCTTGGGTTTGAGAGCCAGTTTGGCCTTTGTGGGGCTTCCGTTGGCGGCTCGACGGGCATTTTCAACCGTCTTGGGGCCGTTTGGAGCCTCTTGGAAATATGTCGGAAGCTATATCGAGCCATCTTCGGCTATCGTGAGCCATCTTGGAGGCCATCTTGGGCTCTCTGAGGCCCTCTTGGAGCCATCTTGGACGCTCTAATCCCTCGCGGGGCGGCCCGTCCAGAGCCAAGGGATGGGGTGGGGGGAGGGGTCAAGCTACCCATCCGCCCGCAAGCCGTCTAGCTCACCCCGACCCGCCCTCCCAACACATGCGTAACACACCCGAGCCTGAGCGTGGTCGGCGGTCGCCTTTGGGTGGACAGCTGCTGGGAACCAAAGCCGACCCCAGGTGCGCGACACTTGGGCGAGGTGCGCCACGCGTGCCAGGGGCGCCACGCGCGCCAGGCACCCCTGGGGCCTGAGCGTGCCAGGCACGCCTGGTTCGCCAGAGGCGCCACGTGCTCCGAGTGCGCCAGGTGTGCCGCACACTCCAGCCGCGCCAGGTGCGCCATGTTCGGGGACGTGCAGAGTGCGTCAGGTGCGCCTGCGCACGTGACAGCACATATCGGGAAACATGTCGGCCCCCGCCATCCTTGTCGAAAACCAATGCCCATCGTTGTGCCTGGTGGGCCTGCGCACAGCAGGCCACGCGCCACCACCCCCGCGGTCCCTGCCAAAAACAAATTGACAGTGGTCGCGGGATGGCCGCGCACGATCCAGATTTAGCCGGGAGGTGAATGTTGTATTGTTTTTTGGTGTCAGGGATGGTAGCCCTGCGCACGGCAGGGAATATGTTGGCACCCCCGCCGTCCTTGTCAAAAACACTACACATTGTTCACGGGCCTCACGAACATGACTCCAGACTTGGCCCCAAAGTGTACTTCGCATTGGTTTTTGGACAGGGATGGTGGGGGGGCCGCATCGGGTTGGCCGCGCATGCTCCAAATTTGGAGGCAGAGTGCGTTTGTATTGTTTTTTGACAGGGATGGTGGGGGCGAGTCGGCATGGTGTCGGCATGGTTCCTGGTTGGACGCCGGTCGCCTGGTGGAGGGGGTGAGCAGGGGAAGGAGGGATTCGGGGCAGAGAGAAGGCAAAAATAGTTAAACCACCTACGCCCAGGGGGCTTGAGGGACTTCCTCCTCGTACCCCTCCCGCTCCTCCTCGCCCTCCTCTTTTTCCTGCCTCTGGCCCTTCCTCCCCCTCCCCCCTCTTTGTCCTCTTGAGATCCACCCCCCCCGCCGACCCCAGCCCGCGCGCGCAAGAACGCCCGCTGGGAGGAGGCGCGCGCAGGCGTACTGGCGAAGAGGAGGAGGAGCAGGAGCAGGAGGAGGAAGGAAGGAGTGAAAGAGGGAGAGAGAGAGAGAGAGTGAGGGAGGGAGGGAGGGAGAAGGAAAGAGGATGATGAGGAGGAGGACAAGGAATATAATGACAAGGAGTAAATGGAGGAGCATCGAGGATCAACGCTACCCCTGGCCCCACTTGGCACGAGGGGGAGGGTTCCCGGGGGGAAGGGCTTCGCCAAGGGCCAAGCTTCCCATCCCGAGCCGTTTCTTTGACGGCCCACCTGGCCCAGGGCGGGCCCTGGGGCCGTGGTGATCTCCATCGTGACCTTCATCGTCACGTCGTTGCTCACCTAAGGGGAGGGCACCTCGGGCGAAGCACTCCAGACGTCTCCTCTCTAGACCCTTCGGCTTCTCATGCCGGCGGCCCCCCACGCCCGGCTTATTTCCATCGTGACCTTCATCGTCGCGTCGTTGCTCACCGAAGGGGAGGGCACCTCGGGCGAAGCACTCCAGCCGTCTCCTCCTCTGGACCCTTCGGCTTCTCCTGCCAGCGGCCCCCCGCGCCCGGAGGCATGCGCCCGGCGCCGGAGGAGCTCCGCGGCAGCTCGCTTTTCACGCCCGCGCCCCTGAGAAAGCGCCCTCCTCCTCCTCCTCCTCCTCCTCCGCCTCCTCCTCCTCCTCCGCCTCCTCCTCCTAGTGTATTGTTTGTGCCCTCGAGGGTGGACATAACCGTGTCGAGTCGGATCGGAGAGGGCACATGGGCTCTCCCATCCTGGGAGTGGTGCTCGTGAAGATAAGGATGACAAACCTTCTGGTCCCAGAGTTTGAACAGGGACGTTGTTGGAAGCTAGTACTGGTGCATGGTATGTGTAGGCAGCGCACCCCGAGACAGCCACCTCTATATGTCATCCAAGGTTCGACGGGATGGTGTTCTATCGACGCCTACCTTGCAGGTGCTGTCGTTTTGCGTGTCTCATCGCCTGCTGAACCACAGCAAGGATGATCATCTTGGTGATGGCGGGAATGGACCCGCTCCGCAACATGGAGGCATGGGGAAACACGCTCTGCAGCAGGCCAGGACGCCACCCAGGGGTAGACAGGGTGATCGTGCTGCCGCACTTGCCCAGCGTGCTGCAGCAACTGGTGACGCACTGTCAGCCGACTGCTCGCCGCCTCCAGCGCTCATTGCAGCGCAGGGCCAAACTTTCAATGGTATCCATCCTGAGACCATCCCAGGGAAGCAAGATAACTGCGACCGCGCGCTCGAGCGAAGACGTCCGCGACTCTCTGACAGCGCACCGGGGTGTTGAAGGCCAGGCAAATAGACCCGGTGATGTTGAATGGATATCTGGACAGTTTGTCTCTCCCCGCGGATGGTTCCGAGTTCGCCGGCCTCCCCGCCCCATTTCATACCAGCCTCGAGAAGGTTCTGAGACGCGTTCGTCCTTCTGCCGCAGGCCCTGATGGATTCAAATATTAAGTTTGGGCCGCCCTGTCTCAGCAGTTCGACAATATGTACGATTTAAGCCTACGTATGTTTAGCAGCGGGGCGTCCCCGCTTGACCTCAATGACTCTGCGTTTGCTTTCCCCGCGAACCAAAAAGTACCCTCGCCAGCCCATACAGAAACCCTGCCCGCGATAGCTGACAGGAAAAGGGACGAAGAGACACATATAGTGAAACAAAGCGAGCAACCATGGTGAACAGAGAAACGCGGCCTTGGAGGGCCTCTTCGGACCGTCCTTGGAGCTAGGAAAAGGAGGAGGATGAGAATTTGCAGGAGGAGGAGGAGGCGGAAGAGGAGGAGGAGGAAGAAGACGACGACGACTACGACGACGAGGAAGAGGGGGAAAAGGAAAAGGAAGACGATGAGGGCAAAGACGAGGACGGGGAGTAGGAGGAGGAGGAGGAGGAGGAGGAGGAGGAGGAGGAGGAGTAAGACATCAACGAGGACGAGGATAGAGCCCTTTGTGGGGATCTTGGGGTCCTCTTGAGGCTCTTTTGGAGGATGTTGGAGGTCTCTTGGCGCCCTCTTGGGGCTCTTTTGTGGGCCTTTCCTTGGAGGGCCTCGTCGGGACTACCGTGGAAGGCGTCGGTGAAAACAGAAAAGTCGTAACATTTGGCCCCCCCCTGTGGGGGACCTCGAAATCGCCCCTTGGGGCGTTCATGGGGCGATCTTGGGAGCTCTCGGGGCCGTCTTGGGGGTTTCGTGGGCCCATGTTGGGCCTCTTTTGGGCCATCTTGGGGCAATCCTGATCCTTCAGAAGCGCATCCGAAGCGAAAAGGCGAGGAGGCAAAAACCTATGATTTGCCTTGAGTGTTTGAAGGATGTGGGCCTCTTTGGGGGGTCCTGAGGGGGCTCCGAGAGCGTTTCGATCCATATTGTGGCTCTCGTCGGGCCACTTGGAGACACGTCGGAAGTTATGTTGAATCGTTTTCGGTTATCTTGAGCCGCCTTGGATGCCATTTTGGAGATCGGAGGCCCTCTTGGAGCCATCTTGGGCCATTCCGGGCGCCCTGGCCGATCGCGGCCCGCCCCGAAAAACCTCAGGGAGGTAAGGGGGAGGGTACCCCCTCCCTGAAGGAAAGATGGTTTTCGGAAGAGAGAAGAGAGATGTCGCTGGACCACCTTAGCCCAAATGGCTGGTGTGATTTGAATATGTCCGGCAAGCCAGCACAGCATGCTTTCCGTCTCTCCACAATTCGGACACGAAAACCATTTCGAGCGCTGCCAATTGCCTGCTCCACCAAATCACCGCCACCAAAATTTCACTGCAACCAGCAAGGTTGTGTCATAAGCCGCAATTATGCTCGCAAGCCCGCGCCCTGGCTGTCAGCCTTGACACCAGCGCTAGCACGAGTCGGCCATGCTTTGTTGCTTATTCTGTAGCTACCACATTCCCTTCGGTCGGCGCCAGTGGCTTTGGGAGATTCACTGACGGCTCGGAGTCCCCCACGGTTATCTTAATTTGCTTCAGTCCTAGAGGCTGTGGCTGGTCCGACGGAGAAAAGCATGTCTTGTGGCATCTTCGAAGAGGTGTTTTGCAAGGATGCCCACTGTCGGGATCGATCTGGGACTTGATGCTTGATCCTTTTGTGTGACTCCTCACCGATACGGTTGAGCATCCAGTGGTAGGCGACGCCACAGGAGAGGTCGGAGGATGCGTTGACGATACATGCGATATCTTACCGCAGCTTCGTGACGGAGACACCTAGCCCCCCCCCCCTTCCGCAACCTTGCCCAGAACGCGCTCCTTCGGCTTCAACATGCAAACTGCTGTATCGTCCCTTTCTAGGCTGAGTGTGCGCCAACCCTGGTTGCCAATACCCGAACGCGGCTCGCCTTGGAAATTCCACAATACCAGGAGCTCGATTTTCAAAGGTCCGCAGAGTACCTTGGACTTCTGTCAAGGCCGAAGGGAATCTCGTACTCCAACGGCATGCTGCATCACAGGAATGGTGGCAGCGCATTATTGAGCCGCCCGCATCCCGTGATGCATCTGCTCCATTCGAGTACCAACATAACATGTGAGCCGTCAGCACATTGAGTTAGATCGCCCAATTATTTCCCATGTCTCCCACCTCTCGCTCTCTCTCTCTCTCTCTCGCTCCCCCTTTCTAAGTCTCGTGAAGCCCTGAGATTGCATCAGATCTCGCGGCTGCCCTCGAACATGCTTGTGGTTTCCCGTGGTGATATCTTCCCTTCTAGGAGGATGCTGCTCGTCCCCCCACTCACTCAATGCGCTCGGCATAGCACCGGCATGGAGAATGGTTTCCCAAACCGTCCCCGAGTGGGACATTGCCTACGATGCGCTCTTGCAGGCGGCCGACGCTTCCTGCGGCTCCCCCTCCCTCAGCGCCCCGCGGTGGGCAGCATGCGAGTGGTGCGCCCCCTCTCTGGCGGAGGATTCAGGCCATCGACCAATTCTTTGTCTCGTTCCGCCTCTCCTCCCTTCGTGTCGTGGTCCAGCGTCATGATGCCTTTCTCCGCCCCATTCTTCCTTTGAGCATCCGATCTTGGGACAGAGCCACAGTTGCAGGACGTAGCGAGGCGAGGGCGGCAATGTATCAGAACCGCAAACCAACAATCCAACGCGCTGGTGGCCCAGAGGTTACGATTGCGTTTTGTCTTGGATTTTTTGTTCGCACGATCGACCGCCGACTGAAGCCCTGGCACTTCTCGTGCCCGCCCGACGTTGCAGCTCGCTGGTCCATCCTCAAGGAGGCCTTCTCCAGAGTTCACCCCTCGTGGAAATCGGCCGCGTTAAAGTCTTTGGCAGGAGCAACTCAGACGACCAGCGCTCGTATGCATGTCTACCCCCACTCCATGGATTGTATATTTGGCTGCGTGAGTGCGGATTCAATCCGTCCTTAGTTTCGTTGTTTTCGATTCCGTCATCATGTCGCCCTCAGCTGGATGTGCCTCGATTTCCCAATGGACCCGTTGCTCTGGCTCGGTGTTGGCCGAACTGAAGAGTGTAGCACGGAAGCCTGGGAAATTTCCAGGGCACAGGCGGTCGAACCCGCGGGACTAGTCTCCCACATGCATCACAAAGCGAAAACAACAATGTACCGACCCCGGCGGGCTTCTCATACGCAGAAGTTGCGCGAGTGACTTGCGTTACACGTTTAGCGTTTCGCGCTTAGTGTGTTCATCAGAAGCCCGCCCTCAGGCTACGTCGACTCTCCCCCTCTTCCCCTCCTATTCCTCCTCCTCCCCTCCTCCTTCCTCTCCTCCTCGTTCTCCTCCTCCTCCTCCCCCTCCTCTACATCCTTCGAGAATCTGAACGACGGTGGTGGGGGTGCGGAGACGCCAGGCAATGGCAACAGTGACGATGTCCCACTTTCCCTTGACCGTTCTGGCGATGGAGACTATGCTCCCCTTCCTGATGATGCGTGCGGACTGGGAGGTGCCATCCGCGGGGATGGAATTTGACGGTGGTCTTGTCGATGCTGGTGCGCAAGATGTTGCGCACCATTCTCAGGAGAGTACACTACGTGAGGGACTATTTCAAGAAAATTATGCGGGGGCGACGTGTGTCCACGGACGACGGCGACCGCGAGAAGATTCCGCCAGAGATCCACATCTCCGTGCAGACGGTGGTCAACCAGGTCGAGTGATGACGGGCCCGCCTGTGACAGAGGCGTTGACACAGCACCACCCTGGTGCTCAAGTCCCCACCGGCAGCGCATCGACATGGAGTTCCCTACTGCCACGGGCTGACGGCGGCAACCACGTGCGTGCGAAGGTGCTCTTGCTGACAATTCTGGATCACCCGACGTCCATGTCACGCCCGCGGTGGTGAGCGATTTCGGCGGTTTCATCAGTTACTGGAGGATGACAATTAACAAATGACCGGGGGTCGTGTTCACGCGGCGGCGCCCGGGATGACGATTAGAAAAACCCGGCTTTTGATCGTTCTCCTCCAGTCAAAAAATTATGCAGAAATGGCAGAAAACTATGTTTTAATCGTTCTCTCCCGTTTTTTTAAATAATCGTCATCCCGCGTTACCAGTCCGACAACGTCGACGCCATGTGCGACGACATCAGCTTGGCCGTCGACAGCGACGCCGCCACCGCCACCGAGGACGCCGAGGCGCCGAGCCTGGCCTCCGC